CTTTTCAGGAAAATGACTTTTGAAGCTTAAAGATCCCAGGCTGTCCTAGAATGAATGTCTTGAAGAGATTTTTTCTTTCCCTGAAGTTTATAGATTCAGGGATAGGGTCAAAAACAGAGGTGTTCTCTCATTATCTCTCTCACAGTACTGGAACATGTCATGTTCTGCTCCATGAAAACCTGGCTGGCCCCATAGCTTAGCAGTTTAGCACTGTGCATTGGGAGTCAGATCCCACATGGATGATCATGGTTTTAATCCTGACCTCATAGGCTTGAAAAACATACTGGATGCGTATGAGTGCATGCCCCCAAAATCTTGACAAGATGAAAAACTGGACAAGAAGGATTGCACATGACTACAGCCTATTGGGGAATTCTCTCTCTCTGGCAAGTGCATGCACCCTCTGGCAATTAAAAAACAAAAACAAAAAAACAAAGAAGAAAAAACAGAGTGAGCTTTGGGAGTGTATGGCTACGTTTTTTTCACTTTATCTTTTTTTGTTTTTGTTTTGTTTTTGCCATAGGGTGTGTGTGCTCTTGAAAGACAGAGTAAAAAGTGAGAAATCAGCCCCCAAAGGGGCAGACCTTCTGCAATTTCTTCTCCCTCATTCTTCTCCTGGGATTTTGGGCATGCATGCACACCCACTCTATGTGATTTTCAAGCCACTGAGTCTGCGACTCGAACTGTGGGAATCCAGCGTTTTAATCACCATGCCTCCTGCTGACCCCTTCACTTTATTTAATGAGATAGACCTTAGCCAATTTATTGGACTTTTATTGGAGAGAATAAAAATCTCTCTTGTGATTGCTTAGAGAATTTCATATTCTTTCAAGTTTGTTTTTTCCTAAAGGTGGGAATGATAATGTCACAATATTTGTATACTGTGGGTTTCCAATTGCATTAATCAAATAGTAGGAATAGAGTCTTCAGGCCAATGACGAGGAAATAAGGCTTGAGAGGGAAAGGGAAAAGCTCTACTTGGGCCATATTAAATTTGGCATGCTTGTGAATAAGGTAGACAAAAGCAGAGAAGAGGAAGGGAAGAAATCAGACGATAGGCCTTTGAGGAAAGCTCATATTTAGATAATAAAGGGTGGAAGAATAGGCATCAGAAAGGGAGGCAAAGAAGCAATCCAAGAGGTAGAAAAAAAAATCAAGAGTGTCAGAAAAGCAAGGAAGAGATGCTTTCAAGAAAGTGACGATGGTTAACTGTGCAAACAAAAGAGGGAGGAAGAGGACTGAGGGAGGATATCTTATATGTGCAATGAGGAAACCACTGCCTAGCTCTGACAGCATTTTAAGCAGAATGGGTAAGGCCTCCCTCTGCAAGAGTGCAAATGAGCTGAATAAGCAAGTAGTGGTGATAAAGCAAGTGCTTTTAAACCACTGTAAATGTGGTAGGTGTTGAGGTTACTGTTGTCATGGAAATAGAAACGATTTAGGAAAACTAAAAGCCACTTAAACCCTTCATTCTAGCCCTTCATATCCCGTTGATATGTTCTGAAAGATGCTGATAAAAAGTCACTGGAGGGGCAGGGCAGTCCCAAGTTTTTGCCTTTCAGAAGTAGTCTAACTGGAAACCTTTCTCTTTCTTGAGAAGGAAGCCAGCACCAACACCTACACCAGCTTCTACAAAGCCCAGATGACCCGCTGACCAAAGTTCCTTATTTTCTTGCTATTGGCTGATACCGTTCATAAAATATAATTTGCTGTTTCACTTTCTTTTAAATGAGCACGCTGAAATACTTGGAGGAAGAAGGCAGGAGAGAGAGAGGAGACAGAAGACGAGGCAGCTGAAAGGCAGAAACCTTCAGGTGGGCATTTTTACCTTTGCTTTGTTCATGCATTGTTGAGAATTGTGCCTTGATTATCACTTCATAGTCACAGTAATTTTTGAAATGTAAATTTATTTTATTTTGTTCTCTGAATGTTTTCATCTACCATTTATATGATGGTTTATAAAATATTGGAAGATGCAAAAAGTAGAAGGATGCAAAAAGCACCACTGAGATAACCTCTAGTGACATTTTTGTAGTGTTTTCTGCCATTATGTGTGTGTGTGATTTTAGTTTGAATTTCACAGCTGTGTTCATAAAGTATGAACACATTTATGTCCATTTCTTCTATTATAGCCTAGATTTCCCCCCAACACACATTGCTACACATTATTCATAACTACAATTTTAAATTGCTGTATACTATTGCCTCAAGGAGATTTATTATATTTCACTGAAGCATTCTTCTATTTTTGGTCATATAACATCTTTCTAATTTTTCCTATTGGGTCAGCTGTATTTTGTCCATTCAGGGTCTAGTTTTGCAAGAGAAGAGGTTCCATTTGAGTACATATACTTCAGGGTTTTGCTTAGAGGTACAAGGAAAGTAATAGTGCGAGCTGCTAATCTATTCCTTTCTCAACTCTGCATATTCAGTCAGACTCACTGACTTTAAGATTAGAAAATGACCCTAGAATAATTGAAACTTAACTTTGTGAACTCTGCCAGTCATCTGCAGTGTTTTGTTTAATTTTTCAAAAACTTCCCAGATAGTTCTTTTCTTCTTTAGTTTTAAGGTGATGTATTTCTTCTGTGAGCACACGCACACACACACACACAAGTGTGCAAGAAAGAGAGTGCACCCCGACAGGGTCTTGATGCTATAACCTACTCCCAGCCTCAACCAGACCCAGATCACGAGCACCGGTGTACCCAGTACTCAGGAAGGCCTCTGGACATGTACATGAAACCTTCCCATATGGGTCAGCCTCGTGGAGCATCACGTTTTACACTTGCTACTATCCAGCCCCCTTCCCAGGTGGTTCCAATAGGTGGTCAGTATAAAAACAGATGACCTAGGCCATTCAAAAACAGTTCCCTGTTTCTGACCCATGCCTGAGAGTAATATGTATTAAAAGAAAGGGAGGCACAATTTCAGGCAAGCTACTCAAATCTCCCTGTCAATACTATATAAGTAATGCAAATTTGTAATTTGGGGGAAATATATAAAACTTCCTAGAAATGTCTATCATCTATCTCAGACACAACTCTAAAGATAAGAATCTACTTGAGAGTTTCCATTTTACTAATGCTTTAACATGATAGATTTGTCATCAATGCTTTGGTAGTTAAGACAACCAGAGGCTTCAGAATGTTGTAAATGTATCTGAATTAAACTCTGTATGTGTTAGCACCTGCCAAGGCAAATAGAAGGTGGACATTTACTAGCTGGCTAGTCACAAATACACCAGAGGTCCAGCAGAGTGATGAGACCAGATTTGGAGGCAGGAGGTAGCTTGCTCTGACGTTCTAGGAGTACCATAGACATAGCACCTACTTTTTCTAAATGCCACTTCCACATAAAGAAAGGGCAAGAGTCTACATCATGCCTGTGCTCTGGTTTCTCCCATCAGGAACTAAAAATAGACCAAAGGCAGCTAAACCAGGTTGAAGCATTTGCTGTTGCATTCCTAGCCCACATCAGGGCTGTCCTTTGGATTCAACCTAACTTGATAAGCAGCATGTTAATCAACTGTCTTGTTTTGATTCAATGGACGTGAACACCTGCTTAGTACCTTCTCTGATGAATATAAACATTCAAGTACTTCACTATTTATGAAATACATATATATGTGTGTGTGTGTGTGTGTGTGTGTTATCAGTTCATTAGATCTATGTAATAGCCTTAAGTACTAGAGGGTATAATTCTTATTTTAAAGATGTTAAAATTGAAGTCCAGAGAACATAGGCTCTTTCTCAAGGTGGAATCAGAGTTGGCCCAATCTGATTGAGCCCAAGGCCCATGGTTCCTTTTTATAACAAATAATAGCTACTATAAGAAACTAGTTAAATACATTTTGTTATACCTATATAATTGAATACTCTTTAGCCAGTTGTTGATGATATTGGTATGTATTAGTTGGCAAAGAAATGTGATCATGACACAGGGATAAGAAAAAAGCAAGGTAAAACAGCATAAAAAATATGCACCCCTTTTTTTTTTTATAAAAGGTTTTTGCCGTAGGGCATGAGCACTCACCAAAGAGAAACATAGGGAAAGTGAGAAATTAGCCCCATGGGGGGCGAGGCACGCTGCAACCCCTTCTTCTCTATTCTCTTCTTGGTATTTTGGGCACACGCACACATACACCTGGTGTGAGTTTCAAGCTGCCAAGTCCAGGACTTGAACTGTGGTCAGCTATGTGGGAATCCAACACCTTAATCACTATGCCACCTGCTGGACCCATGAACCCATTTTTAAAAAAATTTATTTGTGTATATTTCGAAAAAAAGATAAAAGAAAGCATATATTCAAAACCACAGATATGTCTGGTTGGTGGAAAAAACCTATAAAGTTGATTTCAGCTTCTATTGTCTTGTTATTTTTGTGCTACAAGCATGTACTATGTTGTAAAGTAAGTTAAACAAAAATGTTCAAGTTTTCCTGATTCACTGTTCTCTGAGTGAAATGATCCCAACTCTTTTCTCTTGGTCACAAAGCCTCCTACTCAATTCTCAGAGTTTTGTAGATCATTGTCACAAATCTCATTGTGATTGTTAGCTAACACTGACTGAGCAATCAGCATGCCCCAGGCACCAATCGTTCACTTCATATCAATTTTCAGTACTCACCCCAGTACTCCGGTGCTGTGAGCCTGGCTGTGAGCCTGGAAGCTCATAGGTATAATGCAATAAAAGTAACCAAAAGGCAGAGCTGAGACTTGAACCCAGGTCTTTTCTAACTCAGAAGCATATGTGTTCATACCATCCTGCCTCTCCATCTACCTAGGGTCATAAGAGATACATCCAGGACTAAGCAGCACCCATTTTGGAGGAAAGACGATGTATTTTGCAATGCACTTATTGGTATTATATTTGTGTGGATTACTGTGGGCAGCATGAAGTGTGTATTCCAGACTCAAAGACAACTCCTGCTTTTCTAGTTTGTTCTGCACACCAAAGAGCTGAGACGTGCTAGGCCTCCAAGGCTAAGCCTACAAGAGAAAAGCTGCACAAAGGATCATGCAACCACCCAGTGTACTCTGGCCAATGTGCGGCCAAGCTGGGTAATGCAAAGATCATGTTGTGATTGCTCAGCTTTCTAGAAAGACTATTAAAATCCTCATCAGAGACTGCTAGCACCGAATTTATGCTTTTCTTAGGGCACTAAGTGACCAGTGCCTTCTTTGTACTGGAGTTACTTATACGCAGTCTCAGCTCATCCCTTCTACTCATCCTTCATAGAGTCTTTGAGGATGGAGTCCTTGCATAAAATCCCCATGTGGATTCTAACTGAGAATCAATGGGAAAATGTAACAAATGAATTCATCAATGAATATGGTTTTTAGTTACAGTTTATGTTTATCTCTGTTGAACTTTATTAACCTCTTCATATTAATTGACATGGAGAAATTGTCATCTCTGACAATACAGTAGTCACCCCTTATCCACAGGGATCTGTTCAAGGCTCCTAGTAGATGCCTGAAACCACAGATATGTACCCTATATATACTATTGCATTTTCCATGTGATAACTGAGAGGGCTACAAAGCAACTAGTAAACAAGTGGCAGAAATAGCATGGAGACACTGCACAGACAAAGGCATGATTCATATCCTGGGCTGGAAGGAGTAGACAGTGTGAGATTTTATCACACTACTCAGGACAATATGCAATTTAAAATCTGTAAATTATTTATTTCTGAAATTTCTTTTTTTTCTTTGATTTTTAAAAATTTTTTATTTCAATTTATTTATTTACATTCATTTACTGTACATCATTACAGCATACAAAATGAGATTTTCCATCCAGAGTGCACTGTATATTGTCTCAATCAAGCACATCAACAAACATGTTATTGTTAGTAAATAATCTTCCAATACTTGTTTTCTGTATGTTTTGCTTTTTTCCCCCCAATCCTTGATTCCCTATCTCTTACCCTCTGCCATCTCCCACTCTCCTCCCACACTGTCTCTGGTATCTATGTTTGCTTTCTATACTGTTTTCCCCCCACATTTTATTGAATCACCAAAGACCCTAATCAATCCAAATACCCTCATAGCAAACACAGGTGACACACACACTTCCATGAACACAAGTCTAACTTTACGC